CATTGTAGACTTCCAATGGAATTTGGAAACAATTCGAAATAGAAAAGAGGAGAAAATCAAATATAGATTATTCCAAACTCAGAAAAAGTAAATCATTTTGTACGTTATGGATTTTTAAATTGTTTTAATTGACAATTAATGTTTATGCCGATTTGTGCGAATAAGAAGTTTGACGTCAAATATTTTGAGTCTCTGTACCAAAATTTAAAAAATTCCGACGACTATTAAAATATTGCTGAACCAAACGAATGCTGGGAAGTACCGACATATACAAACTTCTTTCTTCATTTCGTTTCTTTCATTTTTCTACTATTTTGCAGTTGTCGGTGCTCTTTTTGGTCCTTTCGGTGATGTTTTGGTATTTTAGTACTGATGTGGCCCTTGAAGTCTCTACTGAATCTATCAATATTTCTCATATGATATTGGACCGTAATCGTACATTTTTGGAGCTGATGGTACTGGCTCATTGGCTGGTAGAGCTGGTGGTATCGGTACATAAACTGATGGAGCTGGTGGTCCCAGTCCGTAGACCGGTGGAGCTGATAGTGTTGGTAATTCAAGTGCAAAAGCGTTACATTTGGTGCATAATTTATGCATTTTTCCATATAAATTTCGTTACAGTTTTCACCATTATTGTTCATTGGGGTTGGATGGACTTGTGAAGCCGCTGGTTGATAAGTAACCACACAAGATGAGTTATGCTGAATCGGCATATTCTCTACAATTGGCTCCGTACCAATCGTAATCGGAACTATGGTTTTCAGTTTCCCACCGATTGCGTCCGTATAACATTTAATCTGCAACATAATCAAGTCTCAGTGTCACATATTATGAATTTTTAAAGAATCACAAGAGCTTACTTCAATATAGTATGAAATTGTAATGTGATACGTTTTAGCAGTTGGTAAACATGATGGCACTTTTAAATCCATGTTAATTATTCGTTTCTGATTTACTTCTACTGCCTGAGTTGATATTCCCGTTGCTTTGGAAATTGTTTCAAATTTATATTTGCCCTCGGCATAGTATTCAATATTCTGTAAGATAAAAAAAATTGTCATTAAAATTTGTTTTAGTTCTTTTACATCGGTTTTTACCTTGATTAATTCCACTTTAAAATGTTCAACTCGATTTCCGCTTTCATTCTCGACAGTGAATGTTAAATTTATCGTTTGGCCTGGAACATAGCCGCCGACTGGTAATTGTGCAATCACTTTCAATGGACCTGAAGGACAACAGCAGAAAATGTAGCATGGCTTGAAAGTGTGCTTCTTTCCTATAATAACTGGTCTCTATTTTCAAAAAGCGAAAAAAAAATCTGTATTCAAACATTTTTGCTTTGCAAACATTTGGACATTTCAAAATCTTTTTTGATACGTTACGTGCAATGACGGTTTAGCGTTCAAATCTAGCGTCTTAATAACAGTGAATGGTTTTTTATATGTGTCATTAAACCACCATGGAACAATCAGAACCAATTTTGCATTGTATCTTATATCACCGTGTTCTCCTTCAAATGAATTGATACATTTCGGTTAATTTTTACGAAATACTCCAAAAGAAAAATTAATAAAAAAAACCTTCAAAAGACGATGGCAAATCATGTGGCAATTGAAATTCGAAGTTATAAGTGTACTGTCCGGCATCTAAATAGAATGAATCACCTGTGAATTGGATAAATTCATAATAAGTATAATTTTTCGAAAGAAAATAATCATCTCTTTACCACCTTGTTCCCGGACTAAATAGATTTTTGAAGACAAATGGTTTTCATGGCCACAATATTGTCGGAGCACTCTTTCATAATGACGATCATCACCATAACCACGCTCCTCTTCAACATATTCAGACCAATTTGTACGTGAATCTCCATTAAAACTAACATACACACCACGCAATTTTTTTCTCTCAGTTAATTTCAAATGCACAGTTCCTGCAAAAATAAATCAACATATTTAACGATTTTCAGACTCAGACGATGCAATAAAAGGTGATTTATAATTACCGAAAATCACATCTCCTGAGTAGAACACATCATTCGACTTATTTTCGAAAATTATTTCGTAAGACACTGTCATTTTTGGAGCCAGCAAATTATTATTGTTTCGTCAGGCTAAAATGTGACTGATTTTTTGAAAAAATAGCAATTATTATAAGAGATTTATAAGAGACAAATTATTGTTAATTTGAATAAATGTTTTTTGTTCATGAAATATTATATTAACATTTGATACATTGACGTAAAGTCGCGTTTGATTGTAAATGCTTTCATCGCTTTTGCCTAGCGCTACGCTTGAGAATGATGCGGAACATTATCATCGTTATGCGTCCCAAATATGCTTGGCAGCATACCAAGCGAAAGGCAAAAGCGATGCATGTTTTTGACGCGATTTAAGAAAAAAAACGATGATAAAGGCATCAAATGATAGATAATGTCACCACATTTGTTGTGAATCGTTTTTTGTCATTTTGGCAACCCGTATTATCACGTAATAAAGAGTTAAAAAACAATTAAATAAAACGAAAGTATATCTTCTTATTCTGATGTAAATAAATTCATGCTTTATTAGCAATTATTTGCGTTGCGCAAGCGTTTTCGAGCAACCGTGTGCTCATCTTCAGGCTAACAATGAAACTGATTTACTTTTTTAAAAAACAATGTCAATTGTCTACTAAGTTTGAAAATGCAAAAGTAAAGAAAATACAATCATTCGGTTTTACAATTATAGCTCGCCATGGATATCTGATGTGATGCATTAGAATTTCATTTCAAAAATATCAGCTGTTTTCAAGTCAGATGTTAGTTCGAATAGAGTTGATTGAACCTGTGTATTTTGAATATTCATACTGTTTGCTCTTGTCTTATAAATGTACAAATTTTCGGTGGCATTCAAATATCTTTGGTTTTGAAGATGAGCACACGGTTGTTCGAAAACGTTTGCGTAATGCAAATAATTGCTAATAAAGCATGAATTTATTTACATCAGAATAAGAAGATATACTTTCGTTTTATTTAATTATTTAAATAACTGGTGTAGTTGCTCAACAAAATAAATTTTGATTAGTTAAAAGAACGTTTTGTTTATATATGGATTCAAATGTTTTAAATGTTTCATTGCAAACTGTGAGAAAGAAATTGTTAAAAAAACTCACAAATATTTGACTTTATATTTTGGAAGATATTTTCAAATAAATTGAAGCTGGAATGATGTGGTTTTTGTGGAATGATTTTATTCAATTTTTTTGTAACACTTCTAAATATAAATTCCACGTCCGTTCAGTACAAATATAAGGAAATCACTACCCAAATGGTAAAAATGCCGACTTACGCGGAGTTGTGCGGGGCTATGCGGAACTGTGCCAATTTAAACGAGAACAATTTTAAGGAGCGTGCGTACGCATACGCATAGTAACCATTGCGTGCATACAGCACATTTGTGTTGTATACTAGTTTCCTCTATCTCCGCACAGATCCACGTAAGTTTAAATTTTAGCCATTTGGGCGCTACGAAACACAAAAACCGGCTATCACCAAATAGTAGCGTCTGACATGGTCAGAGATCAATTGCGGTATATATATCGCATATAATATAATAAATGGTGTGTATGTTCTTTCTTTTTGACTATGTTTGAATACTGATAAGCCGACATATGTTTGGATGTGCTTGTGCATATCACGAAATGTGTAAAATCCCAGAAAATTGCAAAATTCATCTCATTAGTTTTTAAATATGTGTTGTGACTTTGAAACGAAATTTTTCTAAGGGAGGCCATCAATAAATCTATCCTTGTTCTTTCTGGAGGCTTAAAAGTGGAGTTTGACTGGGTTTTTTCATTATTTATTTTTGGAAATAGATAAAAACATGACATACAC